CAAACCATAAACTTCTTGCACTAGAATAACCGAACCGAACCGCTTTGAAATATATGGGCTCGGTTTTGTTCTTAATACTAATAAGGAGAGAGTTCAGAACTTTGTGTAACTACAAAATGTGGTGCAAATATTTTTAAGGCAAATTATTTATAATTATATTTACCTTCAATCTTAATACTTCTTTCCTCCATATTACAGAAAACCAGTATTCCTCTCTATTTTTCATCCAGTGGAGGATTCTTCAGGATTTAAGTGATTAAATTATGAACCGATTAAAGAAATAGAGGTACTGTTAGGCCTTTAAACTAGTGATCTTCAAATTATTAAAATTAAATGCCCTATAGTATATCATGTGACTTTTCTGACCAAACCAAAAAATAATTTTAAGAAATAATATTGATCCAAAAAATTGACCAATCAAACATTCTTTACTTCTTCAATCTTCACCATTGAAAACTTTCAAGTTAAACATAAACCAATCAAGGGCCAGCCATCCCTAATACCAAAGAGGAAACCAGAAAAGAAAATGATCACCAGAAATCTTCTGGTTAAGTGTTTTTCATATAAAGGCTAAGTCATGAGCCAGTCTCTTCATCCATCAACAATATTTGCATCACATATGAATCAAGTCATCTCAAGTTAACAACACTAAACCTTTCCAATACACTTCCTCATTAACAACAAAAAAGCAACTGAAATTCAAACATCATACGCCCGAACTACATACACTTCATTGTTATCGGGTGAAGTAACGCAATTCTTGCTAAAATGAGTCCTTGGGGTTGACCACGGCGTATCCCCTACAGAGCTCTCGATCTCATCATCCAACTCTGCCAGCTGGCACACCACCGACTGAATCCTGACGGTCGGTTTCCTAGCTGGCAGCACAGGCAAAGGACACTCCCCTTTTAGCACCCTCACAGCCTCCCTCACTGTGGGCCTCTTCACACAGTCTGGATGCGCGCAGCAAAGCCCAACTATCAAGGCCCGTTCCATCTCAGCCCGGTCAAAAAGGCCCAACAAATTCCCATCAGCTCCCTCACTAATCATCCCTTTCTCCCACAAATCCCAAACGTAATCGCCTAAAACGACCCCTTCCTCATCCACGGGCCTCCTCCCTGTCAAAATTTCTAGAACAACCACTCCAAAGCTGAAAGCATCCGTTTTCACAGACGGGACTCCATTGAAAACGTATTCTGGCGCCAAGTAGCCCATCGTGCCAGCTGGCACAGTCGCTTGTCGAGTTCTCAAGCTGTGACGGTACACCTCAGCAAGCCCAAAGTCGCCTAGCTTGGCGTTGAATTCGGAGTCGAGCAAAATGTTGCACGTTTTCACATCTCTGTGGATGATTTGGCTCTCGCATTCTTCGTGAAGGTATACAAGGGCAGATGCAACTCCAAGAATTATGTTCAGCCTTCTTTCCCACGTGAGGAGTCTCGTTAAGTGTGTTCGGTTATGGAGAATCCTGTCCAAACTCCCGTTTGCCATGTACTCGTAAACGAGGACTAGCTCGTTTTTCTCACAACACCACCCTTGGAGCTGGACGAGATTCTTGTGCCTCAGGCAGCCGGCCATTGTTGCAAACTCTGTGTTGAACGGGATTCTCGAACCACCGTTTGTTGGGTTTTCGTTGGCGAACCTTTTCACGGCAACTGGTCCAAATGACGGAATTGCCCCTCCATACACCACGGCCGAGGCCCCTTCGCCGATGATCTTGTCGCGGTTGAAATCGTTCGTGGCCGATTTGATTTCGGTTAGTGACAGCATTTTCGGGACCATCCTTCCTCCTTGAAACTTGCGCATTTCGAGTTTGCTGTGGGCCCGCCTAAGCCTCTTTCTCCTCCTCCTCACGCAGAAAACGCACAAAGATACAAATGCTGCCATGAAAGTGACCGTGAGCAGTGCAAGGCCGCCCGAAACAAGAGCCACGCTCAAGATCCTTCTTTTTCTTGAGGGGTGATAACTGAACGGGCCGATTTGAAAATTCGAGTCGGTTGGTGAACAGAATATGCAGTCGAGACCGTCGATCGGCAGAGATGAAGGCAGGGGCCCGAAAAATGTCTTGAACTGCCATGAGTTGATGCTGTAAGCGGACGAGCCTCTTGTATTGGAGGCGGTGAACCCCATGTGCATGAACTCCTTAAAGTGCTTGGACAAATCGATCTGCGAATCAAGAACTGGGCTTGTGGGCCTGATTTTTTCTTTTGAGGGCCCGATCCAAACTCTAATTGATTTCTCGGGGTCCCTGTATTCAATCCAGGCCGTCAATTCTTCACGGCTCTTGAGATCGATCCCCCTGGGGAGTAAATCCACGGCCGAAACCGACCTGATACTGTTCACGTCAACGCCGACGTGGTTGTCGTTGATATCCCCAAGAATCGGGTCGAAGCTCGTGTCGAATTCCACGGAGAGATAATCGGAGCCCTCAGCGGGGAGGCCCATGTAACCATCGTAGAGGCCGGAGAAATTCGCGTCTTGGCAGGTGATCAGAAACGCGAACCCATCGCCGGCGGGGCAAGAGCCCGGGACGGTGACGGAGAAAGAGAAACTACAGGAAAAAGATGCGGCGGCGCCGGCCGTGGGGTCGAGGAATCGGAGCGGTCTGGCGTAGAATGCCCTCCCGACGGCGGCGAATGGAGGGAAGAGCGGAGGCGGGGGAAGGGGCGGGCAGCTCTTCTCCTTCGACAGGACGATGGTAGCGGTGCTCAAGAAAGCGCCGCCGTAGAGAGTGACGTTGTTGTTGGAAGGGGAAATCGGGGCCGCGCGGGATGGGGTGAAGAAGATGATGGAGAGGGCGATGAAAACTTTTGCAGAAAATGAGAAATTCTCAAGCATTTTCTTGAAATTTGCTGCGAGCGACCATGAATTTTTCGGCATTTGGGTTTTTTCTTGAATGGATCTGTAGATTGTTTTTTTCTCAGGGAGGTTTTAGAGGGGTTTTCAGTCGTCGTTTTCTGCTAACGGAAAGGGGTTTTTAATATTTTGCCGTCAAAGGCTCGTAATTGATTTCGTTATTGACGGCGCCGTTAATGCTAATTATGACGGGTATTTTTAATTTTTACAGAATACCGGGAGCCGTCGGTAAGTTTCAGAAAGTGTTGGTGCCATATATAATTTCCAAGATTCACAATATATTTCGAAATGGAATTTGCAATGTTTTGAAAACCGGATCGGTCATTTCGAAATGGAATTTGCAATGTTTTGAAAACCGGATCGGTCATCGAACCGGTGAAGCTACCGGTTTAATGGTTCATTAGACAGACCAGTGATCGAACCGGTCGAACCGGTTTAATTAATATATAATTTTTATTTATTTTATATGTACAATATATAATTATACATATTGTTATTATTAGTTTTATAGTGTATATTGATATTTATTTAAATAAAAAAAAAATCATGCATATTCTAATTATTTTAGCTACATGGTAACTAAGTCTACACTTAGACTATATTTTAATATTGTGGGCTTATAACTTATAACCAATAGGTTGGAATATATTTTAATTATTGTGGGCTTATAAGTTGTAATCAATAGGCTTTAGTTTTCAGCAATAAAGCTAGGGTCCAAGCTATAAATAAAGGCGTTGATTTCCATCAACAAACAAATAAGGCCCAATAATGAAGGCCCAATTTCCAATAAGCCTTTGTTTTTGAAATCCCACATCTCCCACATCGGAAGCAGTACAAAACTAATTGTGCTATTTATGCGCTCACAACAAGCTTTAATGCATGAATCAAATGGACCGCCTGCCCGTATAAGCCGCTCCCGGTTGATTGGTTTTGCCCGGTTTTTCACCGGTTTGTGTTTGTACCCGGTTTTGAGCCCCTACGGTTCTAAACCTCAAACCAGACCGTTATATGGGCTGGTTCGCGGTTGAACTGGCCGGTTCAGTCCGGTTTTCAGATCACCGGGAATTTGAGCTCAAAATGGAATTCATTTTTTTTAAAAATAAAAAATGTTTTATTATATCCAAGTGGTGATTGAAATATTTAAATATTTAATTTATTTATTTATTTATTTATTTTAATCTCATCAACATAACTAGATTATATATTTATGGGTAAATAATATTTAAGTTGTTATTATTATAAATATAATGTTGGGCTATACGTGTTTTACACTACATTAATTTAATATAAAATTACACATAATCATAAAAATTGAGGACCATACATTAATGTAAAATCAAATTACCTCGTTTATATGAAATAATCGTGCCAGGTCGACTAGACCAAGGAAGCAACCGAACCGAATCGGGGCAGTCATCAAGTTGAACAGAGAATGAAGACTTCACATGTCGAAAGAACCCCAGGTCGAAGAAGACATCAAAGATACATAGGGTACCAACAGGTCGAATTAGAGCCCTCGAATGGCCTGATTGAAGTTCGACCGTAAGGAGCATTTGATCGAAAGATCGACCAGATGGGCGTAGCAGCAAAGCTCGACATCGATGAAATTCTACCTCAAGGTAATCGGGGCCAGTCTCACGTTTAGATAGTCTAATGAGGAAGACTAAATAATAAAAAGGAATATTATGTGGATTAAACCCCCACGTGGCCTAACAAAATCAGGCAGTTTGGGCAGTTCGGGTAGCTCAGGCAATACGAAAGGACAATTTGGGCAGCCCACACGGGCAGACTTGGACAACAAGGTATCATCTCCATATATAAGAGAGGGAGGTATGCCTTGAATTAAAAATACACTTTACATACATTTGCGTACTGCATTTCATCTTCTACAAGTGTTAACTTAAGCATTGGAGGCTTTTCACCAGAAAACCCCTCTGGGGAGAGTTCTATTGGTCTAAAGGCGTTCAACCGACTAGGAGCTCGAGATCTAGCCATTTTTCAGCTGGTCGAAGGTCTTTGACATACCATTTGGCACTGTCTGTTGCACTCGTTCGAAAAGCCATCAAGACCATAGCCATGGCTGACGAAATTCCGAGAAAAACTTGGAGCATACTTTCGACGATGAGTGGTCGAAAACTATTCCGTTCAGAGCAGGCCCACCGTCGGGCTTCTCCAAACCTTTTCAGACCCCGATGCCTCATCCTACGGGCTTAGGGAGCTCATTGGTAGTCCCGATGGATGTTGCAGGATCGAGTCAGGCGCAAGAGGCTCGCACGACTCAGGGGATGGTGGTTCAAGTGCAGACACAACTGGATCTATCCCAGGTGCGGTATATAGGCTTCAAAACACACCTTTACAAGACAACTTAGGTGTTAACTGAGTGAAATTTCATTCCAAAATCAACTGTGATCGAAGAAACAACTCACTATACTTATATAAAGTAGGTTCGTTTTGTTTACTTAATCAATGTTGAACAAGTTTCTTTACTTAATCAATGACAAACAATTCACAATTGACATTTTAACACGACCCCATCCCCCATCACTTGTGAATTCTTCTTTAACCGACTCAAATCAGATCAATCGATTAATCAAGTCATCACAGGTTTGGATCAGGTTTGCACTGATAACGTATTAAATTCGTTTGAGGGAGACGGCGGTCACATAAGAAGTGAAACTCACGTGTGCTGCTAAAACCATATTAACTTCGTTCGGGGAAGAAGGGGTGGCCACATAGAAAGTGAAGTGCACCTTTAGAGGACTAGCCTATGTGCTGCTAAGTGCAATTTAATCCCAAAGTCTATTGTTGATATGAGAAGCAACTAACTAAGCTTATGTAAGCTAGATTCATTTTCTCTATTTAATCAACTCACATGTGGTATTTCAATTCAACACAACACAATTCTAACATTCTTAATTTCAATCCGTACACACCAAGCTACTTTAAAAGAAATTCAAGAAGGAATTCAAAAAAAAAGACACACCATGCTACTTCAAAAGAAACTCAAGAAGGAAATGAAAAGACAAACAAAAAGGCAAAAACAACACTAACAACCCTTGACGAATCCTCACAATTCAATCCATACACACCATGCTACTTCAAAAGAAATTCAAGAAGGAAATCAAAATAAAAGACACACCATGCTACTTCAGATGAAACTCAAAGAAATGCAAAGACAACCAAAAACAACACTAACAACCCTAATACTTAGACGAATCCTTACAATTCAATCCAAACACACCATGCTACTTCAAAATAAATTCAGAAGGAAATCAAAATAAACGACACACCATGCTACTTCAAAAGAAACTCAACAAGGAAACAACTAAAAACAACACTAAAACCCCTAATACTTCACCAATCCTCGTCCGAGTCACAACGAACAATCAAGATCATCGTCCAACATGAAATACGGCTACACCCCTCCCTTCTCCTCTGCCACCGACACATCATCCATCCACCCTCACTTCCCCGTCACACTCCCCTCCCACACGGCCATTTTCCTGATCCCATACGCCGAGAAGCACACCCTATTCCCCCCTCCGAACACCTTATACTTTCCACACGCTTTGAAATACTTGAACATGCTCGCCGGCATCTGCTCCTTATGCTTCAACCACATCATCTCCAAATCAAACCTAATGATGATAATCGTGAGGCACGCGCTCAATTACAAGTTCGGGCTCATCAAACCTCCCACTAGATACACACCCCTCTGATCTCTCGTTTGCACAAGACTCAGACACTTTAGAAACGCGAAAATCGTGTCCCACTTTTTCCCCTCGAGTTGGGTCCACGGGATGCTCGTCCTCCGCTTCCCAAGGGAGCTTGAGTATATGGCCCACCGCAGCCTCCACGTCGCCCCTAGGTTGCACAACAGTAGGATCGAATCGAAAATCATCACGGGCATCCGGGGCATGGCGGGTAATTTGGACGAGAAATTTCTCCACGCGCCGCGAGTACATAACGGCGAGGCCGGTGAGAAGGAGGACGCTTCCGGGCCGCAGACTACGTATCTGTGGTGGGCCCACGCGGAGCTGAGTTTCAGGAGGGTTTCAACCCAATCGATTAGGGGGTTACACACGAAGAGGGCTTTCAGGGAGCTTTGCTCCTCCTCTTCGTCGTCGTCGTTGGAGGCGGCCCAAAGGTAGACGCGGCTGTGGGAGGCGGCGATGATGTGGCGGCGACCGAAAGAGGAGGAAGGAGAGGAGAGGTGAAGCCACCGGCCGGAGTCCTGGTCGTAGGCGTAGGGAACCGTGGTGGGGAAGGAGGGCCGGAGAGCGAGGAGGGGGAGGCGGTGGAAGGAGAGGAGGTGGAGGAAGTTGGGGGGAGGAGAGGGCGGCACGGAGGGAGCGGCAGACGCAACGGCTGACGGCGATGTAGCGGAGGGGGAGACGGAGGAAGACGAGGAGGAGAATTTCCGGCGACAGTTGGTTGAGGGGAGAGTCGTCCATTATAGGAATGTGTTNGTACAATTCCAATGTATTACACGGATGTTGAATTATAAAACTTTTGTGAAAAATATTACATTTTTTAATTTTTTAAAAATTAAATAATTTAATTTTAAAATATTACTTTGTGTTTTAATTAAATTGTCAAATTATATTTTTTTAATCATAATAATTAAACACCCGTACATTAAATGAAAATGTCAACCCGTGTTGAATTTTTTTACTTATATCATATAAAAATATCGATATTATTTACTATTACATAAGTACAAAAAAATATATCTTAAATAAATTGAAATAATATGGTGATACTTATATGTATAAGTGTAGAATATGTTTATTTAATATTAAGCAAAATAGATTAAATTTTTTTATTTAATTAGATGTCTAATATATCAAATATCTTCACAATTTTTTAACTTTATATGTAACTTTATAATTTAGATAAATAAGTTCCTAATTGGATTTTCATCTTATTTAGTTACTGCGCAGCTAGTACTCTATCACCCCGAAATTTCATAAGGTTAACCTTACTATGCAGAATGGAATCCTAAAATGTTAGGATGTCAACTTAAACCAAATAAGTACAAAACTTTTTAACAATTAGGAAATATGTTATTTCGATTAAAAAAATATATTAATTTATATCCAAGCCTAACTCCAAAGCATGATTTTTTGCCAAATAGGATTCCGAAGCATGAGAGTTTGCCACGTAGGCTCAACACATTCTGAAATTATATATAAGAAGGGATTATTATTATTATTATTATTATTATTATTATTATTATTATTATTTTAGTGTCATGTAATTTTTTGATTTGATAAAGTAATGGCTATGTAAATGAGTAAATGGAGATTTATAATTTTTTTTTTTCTTTTTGGAGAAAATTTGTGTCACCCAAAAAATGAGATGAAAAAATGAAAACATTGTTTTGTTTAAAAAGAATAAATATTCCAGATTCTGAATGAATATAAAATAAAAATGTAATGATTAAGATTGGCATTATATAAAAATAATATAACATTTATTACTAGTAAATTAGTGACTGACAGTTAGGAATCTATACTTATATTAAAAGGTATACCATTTACCACATTTAGTATAAAGAAGAGTCAACAACATTTATTGCATTACTATTTCCGTATTATACAATCTATACTTATATAAAAGGAGATTCTATTTACTACATTTACTATTCAGAAAAGTTAACTGCATTAAATGTCATTACTATTTTGGTATTATAATTTTTATTTATTTAATTTATTTATTTATTTATTTTATTTTAAAAAGGTAAGTATAATAAAAAGATTTTAATAATAAAAAAATCAAATACCAAATAAAAATGTACACTTTGACTTATTTGATTATATTTGGTATTTGATTTTACCAAATATATTCCTATTTAGTATATACATTAAATACTTACTAAAGTATTTATTTGTTTTATTTGTCAAAGTTAAGTATAGATTTGTTTATATTATCAAATCATAAAAAAATATTAAATCCATATTGTAAAAAAAAAATCATATAATCTTATAACAATTCTACTACACTATTTAACAATATTTCTTTTTTATTATATAATAAAATAATAATTAAATATTATATGGTGAACAACAATAAGTAAAACTGTTACTTTCTCTTATATCAATGGATAAATTTATATGCTAAAATTAAATTTTTATTAGTATAAATGTTTTAGTGAGATAATATATTAATTATTTTACAAGCTAGCCCTAACATGCTCATATTTAATGTTTTAAAAGATGTAGAAAAAAACCTTATAATAACTCTATTGTTTCTTAAACTTAAACGTTGATTAAAAGAGGTAAAAATTCTTAATTTTTTAGACTTAAACGTTGATTAACACCATAGATTGAGAGATTATATTTAGTAAAATTCTTAATTGTAATAAAAAAATTAATTTTTGCTATATTTTAGAATATCTTTAAATTCATTATATATAAAAAAAAAAACTACAATGAAAAAAGAAAGTCAGCTATATACGATTTGTTGTACTCCTCAAATCACATTCACAATTTGGCTACAAGGAAAGGAAACTCATTGATTAAAATATTATTTTGTCAGTAGTCTTAATGTACAAGAGACTTTAAGACTCCACTTGAATATTATAAAACTTTTATTGAACATTGTACAATTTTCTTGCGTATTATAAAATTTTATTGAATATTGCATCTTATAATATAATATTCTCTAAATAAATATATCTCGTGCTTCGCACGAGTCATGTATTATATATATCCCGTACATTTTTCTTTATTCGTGTATATAATTATAAGCATGGATAAATAGACTTAAAATTGTGCACTCCGTGCATCGCACGGGCTCTGTATTAGTATATAATTAGTGGGTAAATAGTATTTATTTTAAAATATTTTATATTAATTACCTTTTATTTTTTTTTTAGTTATGTTATATATTGTGACATTGNTTAAAAGAAAAAAAAAAGTTTTATTATTGTTCCAATTTATGAGATAAATCTTAATTGAGAACAAAACTGGAAGAAATCTTATAACAAATCTCATTTTCCAATTTCATATTAGTGTAGAGCACAATATGGTGCAATATTGCCAAATGAATGATTTAATGCCTCTCCGTTCTTGGAATCAAAATAGCATAAGAATTCAATTTACGTAACTCAAATCATGCAAAAATGTAATTTACTTAAGAGAATTAAAGAATCACAAATCGAATATTGTATCCTTAACAAATTTGTAAATTTGGCTCGGATGGGAAAAGTTTGGGAAGACCAAATGAATGTGAAAAATTAGCAAGAAATGCGCAAAACCATCTACAAGAGATTATTCAAGGTGGATTGTTGACTCGTTATGTGTGATGGGGTAATTGTTATACAAATTAGTTTCATTCTAATTATTTCATTCTTAAAAATTAGTAATGAATAAATAATACTACATAAATGGTCTACAATTAATTTAGAAATGTATAAAACTTCAAATAATTAAGAAGTTATAAATACTTGAAAATTAAGCTGTTAAGACATAATTAGAAATTTAAATAGTGATGCGTCTTATAAAAAATATAATATGTGATAAACTTAATAATGTGAGGTATGAACTAAAGTTTTTAATAACCATACATTTTGATTCATGGAATTTATAAAAATAATTTTATCATTTTAAACATTGTTTATTTGTTAAAAACAAAAAAGGGGAATGGGAAAAATTGGAGCAGTAGAGCTCGCTCCTTCAAGTGTCACCTTTCACGTTTGATACATTATCACTATACTTTATTCTCTCGAGGAACCAGGTAAAAGCATTCAATTGACAACAATAATAAAGCTTTCACGTTTGGTGGAGCATTTGTCGCTCTGCATATATCCTTAATGAAGCCAAATTGTCCGACTACTAGCTTTCACGTTTGGTAAATCATTAATCCCTCTATTTGTTGCTCAAATAGAACTAACTTATTCCAACTTTCATGTTTGGTAATGCATTCATTGCTCCAGTTTGTTATCTCGAAAATAATAACCCTATTAGTTGTCAAGTTAAAGTCTGGTGGAACATTTGTCGTTCTGCTTATTACTCGAATAAAGCCAGTCTGTTCAACCACTAACTTTCCGTTTGGTAGAGCATCCATCTCTCTACTGTATTACTTAAATACAATAAGCCCGCTCAGCTTCCAACGTTCATGTTTGGATTATGGTAAATCTATTTATTAATTGACAGTTTTCACATTTGTGGAGCATTTATTATTGTACTTATTACCTCGAATAGAGTCAAATCTGTTCAACTTGATTTTGCAATGGCTCGATTGACGTGCCCAAACATTCATCAAAGAAAACATTTGCGAATTCAATAATCTTTGAGATATTTAAACTCCGTTTTGAGTTACATAAATTCACATTTCCCACATTTTAACTATAAAAATAATTTCTCATTTAGTCTAAAATAGTTTTAAGATATTATTCTAAGTCAAAAAGTATAACAACAAAATCAGTGCAAAATAATTTCAAGCATTTGTGGCTTTAATTATTACCCTGAATAAAGCTAAACTGTCGACTCCTAGCTTTAATCCATAAACACCATGCTACTTCAAAAGAAATTTAAGAAGGAAATCAAAATGAAAGACACACCATGCTACTTGAGAAGAAACTCAAGAAGGAAATACAAAGACAACCAAAAACAACACTAACAACCCTAATACTTGACAAATTCCTCACAATTCAATCCATACACACCATGCCACTTCAAAAGAAATTCAAGAAGGAAATCAAAATAAAAGACACACCATGCTACTTCAAATGAAACTCAAGGAAATGCAAAGAGAACAAAAAACAACACTAACAACCCTAATACTTGACGAATCCTTACAATTCAATCCATACACACCATGCTACTTCGAAAGAAATTCAAGAAAGAAATCAAAATAAAAGACACACCATGCTACCTCAAAAGAAACTAAAGAAGGAAATGCAAAGACAACTAAAAACAACACTAACAACCCTAATACTTCACCAATCCTCGTCCGAATCACAACGAACAATCAAGATCATCGTCCAACACGAAATACGGCCACACCCCTCCCTCCTCCTCGACCACCGGCACATCATCCACCCACCCCCACTTCCCCGCCCCACTCCCCTCCCACACGGCCATCTTCCCGATCCCATACGTCGAGAAGCACACCCTATTCCCCCCTCCGAACACCTTATACTTCCCACACGCCTTGAAATGCTTGAACATGCTCGTCGGCATCTGCGACTCACGCTTCAACCACATCGTCTCAAAATCAAACCTAATGATCACGATCGTGAGGCACGCGCTCGACTGCACGTTCGAGCTCATCAAACCTCCCACTACATACACGCCCCTCTCGTCTCCCGTCTGCACAAGACTCGGACACTTTAGAAATCCGAAGATCTTGTCCCACTTTTTCACCTCGAGTCGGGTCCACGGGATGCTCGTCCTCCGCTTCCGGAGCGAGCCCGAGTATATGGCCCACCGCGGCCTCCACGTCGCGCCTAGGTTGCACAATAGTATGATCGAATCGGAAATTATCACGGGCGTCCGGGGCATGGCGGGTAATTCGGACGAGAAATTTCTCCACGTCGCGCAGCCGCGCCGCAAGTACATAACCGCGAGGTCGGTGAGAAGGAGGACGCTTCCGTCCGGGCCGCAGACGACGTAGCCATGGTGGGACCACGCGGAGCCGAGCTTCGGGAGGGTTTCGAACCAACCAATTAGGGGGTTACACACGATGAGGGCTTTCGGGGAGCTTTGCTCCTCCTCGTCGTCATCGGAGGAGGAGGCGGCCCAAAGGTAGATGCGGCCGTGGGAGGCGGCGATGACGTGGCGGCGGCCGGGGAAGGGGAGGAAGGAGAGAGAGAGGCGGAGCCACCGGCCGGAGTCCGGGTCGTAGGCGTAGGGAACCGGGGCGGGGAAAGAGGGTCCGAGAGCGAGGAAGGGGAGGCGGCGGAGGGAGAGGAGACGGAGGAAGTGGGGGGAGGAGAGGGCGGCGCGGAGGGAGCGGCAGACACAACGGCTGGCGGCGATGTGACGGAGGGGAAGGCGGAGGAAGACGAGGAGGAGGATTTCCGGCGGCAGTTGGTCGAGGAGAGAGTCGTCCATTATAGGAATATGTTAAAAATTGAAGTTTATGCGAAAAAAAGAGTTTTATTTTTTTTATTTTTTTTTTATTTTATTTTAGTGTTTGTGTGTTTGCTTTTTGGTTGNCTTTTCGGAGAAAATTTTGTGTCACCCAAAAAATGAGATGAAAAGGCGAAAACGTTATTTTTAGAAAAAAATAAATATTTGAGATTCTGAATGAATATGAAAAAGAATTGTAATGATTGAGAATGACATTATATAAAAATAATATAACATTTACTAATAGTAAATTAGTGACTGATAGTTAGGAATATATTAGTGGGTAAATAATGTTTATTTTAAAATATTTAATATTAATTACCTTTTAATATTTAGTTTTGTTATATATTAATCGTGACATTGTAGAAAAAAAGTGAGATGAGATGAATCGCAGTTTTTTCAAAAGAAAATTTTTTCATTATTGTTTCAATTTATCAGATAAACCTTAATTGAGCACAAAACTGGAAAAAATCTTATGACAAATCTCAATGTTTAACTAGTGTATATCCCGTGCGATGCACAGAGAAGCTCATATTTTAAACATTTCTTTAGAATTTATTTTAAATATAATTATTTATATTTTTCACATTTCATTTCATTATGTAAAATAAATATAAACAATGAAATACATAAATATCAATAGCTACTGTTGTCAGAGCCACAACCGTTGCTCCCACCATTCCCACCGCCTCCACCCACACGACGCGGCCCACCTCAAAACCCACCGTCGCCACTTTGGGACTATTCCGACCGTCGAGCGCTTGGGAAGGAAGAAGAAATAAGGGAGTAATAAAAAGATAAAGAGGAAAAGAATAAGGGATGACGGAAAAGAAAAAAGTCATTAATATAAAAATTGGTATATAAGTATATTTATGATGAATCTTTGAAAATCCAATAACCAAATTTAGATTATATCACATAAGAAAAAAAATAAATGATAATTGTTCATTAATATATTTAAAAATAATTTTGAATTTCAAATAAAGTAAAAAGCAGGATAATTCAAATTTGTTTTCAAAAAGTTTCTGAAATGATTAATATTCTGGTAAATATATCTGTAAGAACAATCGTACCATTTTCATTTTACAAAATTTGGCAAGCTTGTTAATGAGATAAATTCAGTTAGATAAATAATTAATTAGTTAAAATACTATATTATTTATATTTTAAAAATCCAGTTTGATAAATGTGGATAAAAAAATTATATTAATTAGTTTGTTGCGAATGTGGTTATATAGAAGTTAAGATAAAATGAAATGTACCAGAAGAATCTACTTGTGATATTTTTTTTAAAATATTTAAGTTTAAAAATATAATAACAAAATTTAGATTATCTTACATAAGGGAAAAATACATAATAAATGTTTATTAATATATTTAAAAATATAATTTTTGAAATTCAAATAAAGAAAAAAGCGGAATAATTGAAATTTGTTTTAGAAAGTTTCTAAAGTGTTTAATATAATGGTAAGTATATCCGTAAGAATAATCTCACCATTTTAATTTCAAAGAATTGGGCAAGTTTGTTAATAAGATAAATCCAGTTAGATGGATGGTTATTAATTAATATTAAAGTAATTATATTTTAAAAGATTCGGTTAGATATGTGGATTAAAAAAATATTATTTAATTAATTTGAAATGTGATTATATGGAAGTTAAGATAAAATAAAATGTACCCAAAAAAATTGTTTGTGATTTTTCCTTTAAATGTTTGAATTTAAAAATCTAATAACCAAATTTAGATTTATATCAGATAAGAAAAAAAATAAATAATTAATGTTTATTAATATATTTAAAAACATTAATTTGAATTTCAAATAGACTCTCTTTAAGAGATATTCCTATGAACATTTATGAAATCCTTATAGGCGGGATAACTTTTTTTTTTTTGTTTCAAAAAGTGTTTAAAATTGTTAATATTTTGATAAGTATATCCGTAAGAATAATCATATATTTTAATTTCAAAAAAATTGAAAAGTTTGTTAAAGATAAATCCGGTTAGATAAATAAATAATTAATTAAAATATTATATTCCTTATATCTTAAAAAAGAGGTTCATTTAAATAATTAATTAATTATTGTATCTTACCAGGGCGGCAGTCTTGATCAATAAATTTATTAGTGTAGATTATATGAAAGTCAAAATAAAATGGAAATTCATTTAAATGTTTAAATTTAAATTTTTCCCAAAAATTTTTAAAAACACATTTAGGCGGGATATTTCTAAAATTTTTCAAAAATATTGCTATGTTTAGTAAATTTTTAGGCGGGAATCTGAATTATTTTTTAGTTACTCTTTTAGAATTTTTTGGATTGTCTCTTTATATAATAATAGATTTCATATTAGCATAGCACAATATGGTGCAATATTGGCAAATGAATGATTTTATGCCTCTCCGTTCTTGGAATCAAATAGCCTAAGAACTCAATTTACGTAACTCAAATCATGCAAACATGAAATTTACTTAAGAGAATTACTATGCAAAATAATCACAAGTCAAATATGGTATCGTTAATAAATTTGTAAATTTGGCTCGGATAGGAAAATTTTGGGAAGACCAAATGAATGTGAAATTTAGCAAGAAATGCGCAAAACCATCTACAAGAGATTATTCAAGGTGGATTGTTGTTATGTGTGATGTTAATAATAATGACAAAAATATTTCGGTTCGATTTGAATTTGGGATAATTGAAGAGTGATTGTTATACAAATTAGTTTCATTCTAATTAATTCATTTTTAAAAATTAGTGATGAATAGATAATACTACACAAAACGGTCACAATTTAGAACTGTATAAAACTTCAAAAAAAAAAAAGTTATAAATACTTGAAAATTAAGCTGTTAAGACATAATTAGCAATTTAAATACTGAATAGGCATTGTTGCATGTTATCAAAGATATAATATGTGATAAACTTAAAAACGTGAGGTATGACTTTTTAGTAACCATACATTTTGACTCATGGAATCTATATATTTATTAATAATCAACGTGTGCATTTGCACAGATACAAATTCATAGAAAATAAAATAAAAAAATAAGAAAAATAAAAATACTAAATCATAATTTAATTAAAGAAAAAATATTAATTAAGAAAAGAATTCTAAATATTATTAAAAAGTATTTTATATATAACATTTATATTTTATATACAATATTTTAATATAACGCCATAGAAAATCTGACATCTCTTGATTAGGTAATGCTTTTTAGTTAAATGACATTAGTAACATAATATTGCACCATAACATTTGGATTGAGAATAAGAAAAAACATATAAAATTAGAATATGGCAACATGATAATGAGATATATTGGTGTTTAAAATATAATTCATTATTAATGATTTATACAATTAGATATATATATATATATATATATATATATTGAAATAGATGACTGAATATTTTTAGTTTTATTTCTTAATTATTTGATTTTGTAATTTTAGAATCTGAATTATTGTGTGAATCATTTTTACGTACTCAAGCATAAAAAAATTTGAATGTATATATAAATAATTATTTTGTCACATTCATTCAACAAATAAGTAAAGTGAAAAGGAAATAGGCATGAATCCTGTCAGATCATATCGAAGAATGAGCATTACATCATTTTGAAACCTGAATTATTGTATAAAACTATTTTTATGTATTCAAAGATAAATGAAATTTGAAAAGAAAATAAGTATGAAATCTTTCATATCAGATCAAATAATGATTGTTACATAATGTGATTGATGGGGAAGAGGTGATAAAAAATATTACACAATTGAGATGAGTAAAGAAAAAAAAAAGAAAAAATAAATAAATTAAATGTTTTGTAACCGATTTTAGAGGGAAAGTGAAATAATTGTGTTGCTCCTCTAATAAAATTGAATGTTGACAATTTTGGAGGGATAATAAAATTTAATGCAGAAAACTAATAAAATTGAATGTTGAAAGTTTTGGAGGGATAATAAAATTTAATGCATGATAATATAATTTAATGCTTTGTTACTCCTCTTTATATATACTAATACGTTGCCCGTGCGATGCACGGGGTAATAGTATAAAGCAATGAAGGAATATTAATTAGTATAAAATATTTTTTAATATTAATATTTAATTTTTATATTTTATTTTACTTTTACGATATATAATCGTTTAATATGGCATTTTTATGGTTATTTAATCCGTTATAAAATAGTTGTCATTTTAGTTTTTTATAATATAATAATTTACATGAAAATTCGACAAATGACCCATTTATTTATTATCTTAATATGGTATATACTTGATCATTGACTAATTGTTTACTTATATTTCTGTAAATTTTAGCATTATTTTTTTTTAAACCCGTGAGAGAGAAACATAATAATTACAATTTTATTTGTTTTATACTAAATCTGTTTATTTATATTTAGTATGATTAATTTGAGACTAAATTCATATTTTTAAACCAATATTGAATAACGAATTTAAGTTCATTTTGTATATGGAATATTAACTAATAAACTTATTAATATCTTAAAAGTAATTAATTTTTTATTTATACATACAATATGAATAGCAAATTGAAGATCGTGTGAAATGAAGGTTAATTTAATATTATATATAAAAAACAGAAAACAAATAAAATTATTATTTAGTTTTTAAAAGGAAATGACATTAATAATAATAATAGTTAAAAATAGAAAAAAAAAATATGCAACAATATTAATGATATATTATATTATATCATATTTGACATACTATACGCAAATTAAATTGGAAGGAATTTATTATATTTTAATTTATGGTGTAAAAATAATATTGATTTGGACATTAGAAAATAAATTTAGTCGTGCTATAAAATAATGAGGGAAAAGTAAAAACTTAGAAAGGTAACAGATTTTCTTTTAATTTGTTTTGTAAAAGAAAAAGTAATTTATTTTAAGAGGAACAAATTTGGTTAAGAAAGAAAAAAGGAAAACGACAATTGTAGGGGAAAGTCACTTTTGA